GGTGTCCAGGAGACCTGTACCTCCTGAGGACTCACACCCACCGCCCTCACGTTGATGGGAGCTGCACTGGGAGCTTCACCCTCAGTACGCAGCGTCAGGGGCTCTGACGAAGGAGATTCTCCCACGCTGTTGACAGCCACCACTCGTACCTGCCGTCATCGAGGAGGGTCCTCTTAGGATATACGCACATGATATGTGAAATAAATAAGAAAGTCCAAGAGGTTACGTGATTTCTCGCACTGTCAAGGAACTATAAACATAACAGAGAAACAGAAGACTTACAAGGCCAAGATATCACCTCACATACAACATTACGCCCGACTCATTATGATTCTTCCCAAATTTTATTAATTATAAATTAATCTAATTTGTATAGCCCCTAAAGCATTATTCTTATTCTGATTCAATTATATTGCTCTCAACCATAGCCCTGCTTGATACAAGTATATATATGTCGTGCTGAATAGTTACAACTGGTCAATTAGCAAGAACTCATTTAAAATTAAGCTCTTTCTAAAATTCTCTCTTATACATTTAAAGATATATTTTTTTTTCATTTATGTTAATATAAAAAATAATGATTTTGTACCAAAAGAATCTTAGAAAACTTACCTAACCTTATAAGAAGCGCAATCCAATTTAGCCTAATCCATCTGAATATAATTCTCATAAGTTTATAATAATTAACAATAAGCAAACAAAATGAAATATTTTTTTCGTTAGGTTTCTTGGATATTTTAGATTTATGGAATAGCTAATGATCTAAAATACCCATTAAATTTAATTGATAAATCTTTTAAAACTGCCAGAAATACTTTTTAAAATTCAAAAAGGGATATCCAACTTTATTTAACTAAAAATATGTTGGTTCTCCCTTACCATGAAGACTTAGTTGATATGTCTCTCTTAAACCATACCACAAGTGGGGTTAGAATCCGCGATCAGAGAGTCACAAAACTCCAGACCGACGCGTTAGCCATTTGTGACTCTCTGATCGCGGGTTCTAACCCCATCCGTGGTATGGTTTGTTTGCAATCATGTCATTACGATATCGTGAGTCATGTTTTCTCTTAAGACTTTCAATATCAAAATTGTATTTAAAAATCTTGATACAGTAAAAAATACTTCTGGTAAAAAATTCTCCCCTGCTATGGTGCTGGTCAGTAAAAATCATGGCTCTCGGCTGGGCACTCGGCTGTAGCCAGGCTTCTCTCAGTGATCTTGTTGATGTTTATATGTATACAACCTCTTATATTACTTGGGGTTAATTAAGTTGGTGAAAGTCGGTGCCTTCGAGAAAATGGTTTTGTGTAAAGTGAAGAACATGTGGGGGAAAATAGTGTTACACTCCAGACATTTCCAAATTTCCGAAAAGCTTTTTCTGTGACAATGACACAAATACAGAGAAGTGATCTATATTTTTTTGCATTTCAACAATCACTGAGAGTTTCCAATACATGTACTTGAATGTACTTGTAATGACACAGTGTTGGGTAAAAGGTTGTACAAACAAACTGCACCTCTGTGTTTGTCACCAACTGTCGACATATTTCCAATGTCCTCACCAACATTCTATTTTTCAAATATTTTTGTACGTAAAAACGGCTAAAGCTTATCATACAGTGTAGCTGAAAGGCATTATTTCAAGGATTTGAAGAGTGTAGAGAGGGTTAATGGTAACGTACTGGACCGAGTTGATGCAGTGAACTTCATCAACTGACTCACTTGGTACATATTAAGTGGTAATACTAAACATTTAATAACTCACCACACTTGTGCCTTACACATATGTATTACAAATGAATGCATTTACAAGAGTAATAACTAAAAAAAAATCTTAATATTTACAAAAAATGATAAGGAAAGCTGTGTGATCCGGAGAGTGCTGTTGACTCTGGCTTTATAATAATAATAATATCTTCATTTACTACAAGTACATGTACAAGGTATACCAGTACATGTACAAGGTATACCAGTACATGTACAAGGTATACCAGTACATGTACAAGGTATACCAGTACATGTGCAAGGTATACCAGTACATGTACAAGGTATACCAGTACATGTGCAAGGTATACCAGTACATGTACAAGGTATACCAGTACATGTACAAGGTATACCAGTACATGTACAAGGTATACCAGTACATGTACAAGGTATACCAGTACATGTACAAGGTATACCAGTACATGTGCAAGGTATACCAGTACATGTACAAGGTATACCAGTACATGTACAAGGTATACAGACCATAGCTGACGTCAATGACAAACGACTCTATAGAAAGCTCCTTGTAATGAAGAGCATTACTGGCATATTACGTCAGTGTTTTTGTTCCAGGATGCTACCCACACCAGTAGACTAACGCCCAGGTACCCATTTTACACTGATGGGTACACAGGGACAGCAGGTGTTCTATGAAAATACGTCCCTAATATTTTCCAGCCTTATCGTAAGATTGCAGATTTCTGTTTCTAACTCTTGTGGATGCAAACTCATGGCTAACAATAGAGCTTGTACACTGTCCCCAGCCAACAAAACAATACATAATCTAATATGCTTTGCCTGTATAACTTTCATTTTGCGTGATCCTTGCATGACTGGCCGATAAAATCGTGATTAGTAAGAGAGAAAATAAGACCTCAAACTTTGGCTGAATTAAAGCCAGAACCAGCAGGAAAAAACATACACCTTTCTCTCACTAAATATTCCAGCTGTTTGGATAGTATAAAACGGGGTAGAAGTTTGCAGATTTACCCATATATCTTCCGTTACATATCGTTGGAGATGTTTGGGAAGATTAAGGACTTATTTTCAGGCTCTATTACAACCTAGGTTCTCAAAGACCTGTTATCCTGGGTGTAAAGGGAGCAAAATAAACACAGCAGAAAAACTTTGACTTATATTATATTTCACCAAGTATAACCAGCAATATTATTTTTTGGGTTAACACATTGGCCGATTCCCACCAAGGCAGGGTGGCCCGAAAAAGAAAAACTTTCACCATCATTCACTCCAACACTGTCTTGCCAGAAGGGTGCTTTACACTACAGTTTTGAAACTGTAACATTAACACCCTTTCTTCAGTGTGCAGGCACCGTACTTCCCATCTCCAGGACTCAAGTCCGGCCTGCCAATATGCACATTATATACACTATGTACAGCAATAGGTATTAGTGCACGCTACGGTAATCAAGGCAGAATCTGAAGCCAATAGAATGCAAACTACCATGCTTCAAACAGCTCTCGAATGGAAAATGACAAGGGTAAAAACGTGCGTGGTAACCACGTCACCTTTACAATTGCCAGATCCACATTATGATTGAACCTAGACACTGATCTGACGATGGGGCCCCGATCGTCTGACCCTTAGTATCTGGTTTGCTGGTTGGGGAGGCAGCCTTATAATGAGGGTGTATACATGCACCACAGGCCCCAATGTATTCAACAACTGTAGAAGCTGGAGTAGATTTTTCACTATTAAAGACACCTGCTGTCATCATAGTGGAATTAACGTAAGGTACGATACTGGATTACTAGCTTTCCGGGTTAATAATCCGAATAACTTTCTTTCAGATGCTTTGTATAAATTAGATATTCTAATAGACATGACCTGCTCTCGCTACCCAGAAGAGGAGGGAGGGATGCTGGGGACGCCGCTTCTTGCCTGGCGAGCCGCTTGTGGTAACGTACAGACGGGGTACTAATCAAATTAAGCATTTTTTTTTTTTTTACATTTGCGAGAGTATTATCAAGGCTGCTTCGCGCACAATGCAATTTTGGATGCACTTTTTCAATCAACGCCTACACAAAATCAATTTCTCTCTCTCTCTCTCTCTCTCTCTCTCTCTCTCTCTCTCTCTCTCTCTCTCTCTCTCTCTCTCTCTCTCTCTCTCTCTCTCTCTCTCTCAAACTCTCAACGTCTTCGATCGTCTCCAATATCTTAGTCACCTGTGCATTTGACTGACGAATCCATCTCGGCAAACCAAAAATTTCGACAATAAAAAACGCCCAAATGTTCCACATGTGTGTTATTTGTCTACTGGAAGTAATTTATTCCATTAGTATAATGATACTAGTACAACAGTTATACAGAGCCCAAACAGCGTGGTTTACTGCAGTACTGTATCTCAGTAAAGTGTACTTGCGTAAATTTGACGTAAGTCCTATAGCAGGCCGTGTACAGTGAGAGATGATACCGGAGGCAGTCGGAGTCAAGGGCTGGAGAGCTGGAGAGTAGGTGTTTACTGCTCGTTACCAGGGCAGTGAGTGAGACTCAGGTTGAGGTAGGCTGACCCAAGGTAGGTGAGCAGGTCACCACTGGTGGCAGGACTAGCGCAGGGTGGAGCCTAATTATTAGTACTAGGCTACCAGGTGATAAGCTTACACGGGTAAGGGAGAGTGTGTGGGGTAAACGAGGAGGAGGAGGAGGTAAACTGTGGGAATTTAAAGATGAGGGTTAAATTAGTAAGATGGAGAGAGGGAGGGAGAGAGATAACATACGAGGATTAATGGGAGAAAATACCTGTAGTAATGGGGATGCAGGTAGGGGAGGCAAGGTTAGTAATTATTTGGGGCGAGGTAAAAGCGGGGGAATTATTTGTGTAAAAATGATCTTGGGGGTATAATCAAGGGGTGAATTATCAGTACAGAAATAACTGGAGGGGCGGGGGAAAATCCCTGAAACGGAGGGATGGAGGGGAAATATAGTAAAGAATTAGTAGAGTAAAATTAACTCGAAAAGAGGGGAAGGGAATAATTAGGAGGCAGAATAAGGGAACGCAGGCAAGGGAAGGAAGGATAGAGAGAGAGAATGAGAGGGAGTGTAGGAGGAAGGAGGTACTGAGTAAGAGTTTGAGGGTAGAAGGAGAGGTAAAGAGAGATAGGGAGGGAGAGAAGAGAGGAGGAAGTGAGGACAAGAGGAACTAATGAAAGGAGATACCAAGGGAGGAGGGAGGAAACTAGGGAGGGTGAAAGGAAGCTAGGGAGAGAGGGAGGGAGAATGCTAGGGAGTGAGAAAGTTAGAGGGGAGGGAAGGAATGAGGAAATTAGGGTGGGAGAGGAGGAGTGGGGAAGTTAGGGAGGGAGGGGAGGGAGGGAGGGAGGGAGGGAGGGAGGGGGAGGAAGTTAAGGAGGGAGGGAAGGAAGGAGGGAGGGAAAGGAAGGGAGGGAGAGAGGGAGGGAAGGAAGGAGGGAGGGAAAGAAGGGAGGGAGAGAGGGAGGGAAGGAGGGAGGGAAGGAGGGAGGGAAGGAGGGAGGGAAGGAGGGAGGGAAGGAGGGAGGGAAGGAGGGAGGGAAGGAGGGAGGGAAAGAAAGAGGAAGAGAGGGGGAGAGGAAAAAACTGAAAGTTGATGAAAAAGAAGCAGATATTATATCATGTATTTATTATGCTGTCTTTTTGATGCCTTTTAAAGAAAAAAAAGTTATTATGGTTTAACTTCCAGGGTCCTGGACCACTGGATGTGGATACCATAAGTCTTCCAGGGTCCTGGACCACTGGATGTGGATACCATAAGACTTCCACGTCAAGATCACTGGATGTGGATACCATAAGACTTCCACGTCAAAACCACTGGATGTGGATACCATAAGACTTCCACGTCAAAACCACTGGATGTGGATACCATAAGACTTCCACGTCAAGATCACCTAAAGGTTAGTCGAGGTCTCTAAATACCCACATCTTGTGGTCTTTATATTAAAACAAGACTATTGACTTGAGCGTGTGATGTGCGACACAACACGAGGCTATACTTCCCACTTTTGAAAAAAAATGGAAAACAAAAAATATCGGCTGTGACATAAATGCAATTTCTGAAGCGAAGAGGAAAAAAAATCTCGTAGTGTTGCAAAATTTTGCAAAATTCTCGAATAAGTCGTCTTGCATATTTGCAACCGTTGCTAGGATTTGAAATTCTATGCGTTCGCAATTACGTTAAAAAAAATTAAAGTTGCTAGGCGAAGCCTATAAATAACTGCTAACTTTTACATATTTACGCTGAATTATAAAATAATTGTATTGATAGAATTTTGAAATTGTGATTTAATTAGTCATTTGATTTAGGACATTTTAGAACTACTGAAATATTTGAAGATATTCAGCTGTGATATGATACAACATTCGATAAATTACATATTTCTGAATGGTCTGCACAGTCATGGTGCGGTAGACCAGCTAGTGTTACACCATGGTATAGTATACCAGCTGTTACACAGTGGTGCGGTAGACCAGCTAATGTTACACCATGGTATAGTAGACCAGCTAATGTTACACAGTGGTGTGGTAGACCGGCTGTGGCATGCAAAGAGTATGTTACAATTTACTCGGAGTATGTTATACACCCATATAGGCTGCTTCCCAACCAGCGAACCAGGTGCTAAGGGTTTAACGATCAGTAGGGTACCTGTCGTTAAATCAGTACCTTGGTTCGTTGACCAATCACAGGTAAGCCCGCCAAAGATGAAGCAACGTGGTTCACTTGTGATATGCACTGGCAGACTTGCCTACCTACTGGTTGAGTACTGTGCTCTCTCTCTGGCTTCTGCTTTGCCATCTGTCACCATGGTGTACATTCATTATTCTATCTGTACAAATTGAAACATAGGACTATTATAAAAGATGAAGGCACAATTCATTTGGTCTACTGCTGAGTTCTCCAATTCCAATACGCCAGGTCTCACGGGCCATTCTTTCCCGGTTGAAAATACCAGCTTTTTTAACAAAAAGGCGGAGATCAGCTTTTTTACAAAAAGGGGCAGTAACCATCAATGTTACACAGTGGGCGACAGCCCATTAACCACGGAAAAACCATTTACAGCAGCGGTCGTTTGAACATTCCCATCCAAACTGGAAAAGCCAACGGTATTACACAAACACAGGGCCTTGAAGCCAGAGAAATGGTACTTGATACGGAAAAATGTGAAAAGGCCCGAATAGATCACGCCCTGATAGCCTGGCAGGGGGAGGTCTTGAAAACAGCAGAGGGGGTGCTGCCTTCAGCCCGGACTGCTGCCTCACCCCTCCCAGGAACGTGGGAAAAATCACCTTTAAGCTCATCATCATGATTATTTAGATCATCACGGTAATCTCACTACAAATGGTTCCCTGACACGACGAAAACTTTTGTCCCAAAAACGGGGTTTCCCACCCCTTCCTCGCAACAACAAGTTTTCCTTTTTTCTTAGGCAAATATACTTGGTACAGCTAGTACACTGTACGGGTGGGACAGGCTAGTATACTGCGTACAGGGGGACAGGGTAGTACACTGTAGTACAGGTGGTACAGGAGTACACTGTAACAGGGGGGACAGGGTAGTACACGTAGTACAGGGCGGGTACAGGCATAACTGCGGTAAGGGGGGGTACAGGCTAGTACACTGTAGTACAGGGGGGTTTCAGGCTGACACTGTAGACAGGGTGGACAGGCGAAAAACTGCGGTACGGGGGGACAGCGACACTGTGGATGGGGACAGGCAGTACAAGTCTAGAGGGGTACAAGCTAGACACGTAGTACAGAGGGGGTTTCAAGCCGTACATGGGGGTACAGGGTGGACAGGCTAATCATTTTGGTCAGAGTGGACAGGCTAAATCAGGGGGGTAC